ACCGGAACTAAAGATGTGATTTTTAGTTCCGGTTGGTTCATAAAGTACGTGGGAAAGATATTTAGTTCCGGTTGGTGATATCAACCGGAACTAAAGATGTGATTTTTAGTCCCGGTTGGTTCATAAAGTGCTAATGGGCTTTTGAACTAGGGCTAAAGCTGATCTTTAGTCTCGGTTCCTATTCGAACCACGACTAATGTGATTTTTTCATAATCCGGCAAAGATCACTTCTACAGTAGTGTCCGTCTACATAATAGGGGCAACAGGAAAGTTTGTGTTTGATTTATTAAGTCCTTTATCAAATGAAGGAATTTTAGGAGATATTAATTGAACCGAATCATGTGTGATCATGTAAAATTCATACATTAAATTAAGTAATTAACCATGCGGTAAAAGTATAAGTCCTACTTATATAATCGGGAAATTTAACTATTTGCTACTCTTGTGATATGACAATTAATGATTTGCCACTCACCGTCTATGATATGTGGGCCCTCATGTGTCTATGACATGTGGGTCTAGTGGCAAATCGTTAAGTATCATTCGTAACGAGTAGCAAATAGTTAAAAGCCCAAGCTGGTTAGCTTCAGCTTCATATGCAAGATGCATCCAACTGTCAATTAATTCAGCAGGGCAAACATCAAATGCAGCCCCTACAGTGCACGCAATATGGCCACCTGACTGCATTGGGAGGTAGTACACCAAAACAGCACATGCTCGGCCAGGACAATTTGACCAATTTCTCTACGCCAAACATCCGGTAAATTGCTTTCGTTCAAAAAAAAAAAAACAGCCGGTAAATTGCAGGTAAATCGCCTTAAATTCGTTTGCTCTGGTTACTTTGCTGTGCTCAAACAGTGGGTTACACTGTGCCCAGATTCTCTATCGTTCCAATCTGTTGTACCACATGTGCATTCATTCCATCCGATTTGTTTTGCAGGCGATATGATCTGGGATTAATTGCCACACAGGTCTCCTTCTCCCCACGGTAATTAAATTTTGGTCAGAGTTAAAAGAATTAATGGCATGAGTTTGTATTGGTATTATTTTTTTCTCTTTTTCTTAAATTGGGCACGTGCTAATCTTATTTGATTTGGAAAATATTTTCAGGTTGCCATGGCTAAATTGGCGGAATTGTGAAGGCTAAGGAATCAAGGGATCAGAAAGGCATAATCTGATCAGACGCACTGATAAATTTGGCATATTCTCCATGATATTCCATTTCTTATTACCGGTATAAAGGCCCTCCTTGGGGCACATGAATATAAGGGGGCTACTCAGATTGATGTAATTTTAAACCATACTATTTTTTCAAAGTTGTCAAAGATGTGTATACATTTAGTTTTTTGTCAAATTTTAGTAAATACATAAGAAATCCTAAAAAATTGGTAATATTGCCAACTTACCAAAATTTTGGTATTGTCAAAATTTGGTAGGGTTTATTTTAGCTACAATCTGAACATACCTAAAATCACATGAACTAATCCTCCAAAACTCCTATAGATTCAATGGTGTATTCTTTTTCAACTTATGTTCGCTCGATTTTTATACGTATGCTTCTTGAACTTCTAAACGGTGTGGATTAATTAAGATAGCATACTTGCGGATGTATGCATGAAGTGTGGTGTATGCACATATGCTTTTATCATGCAACAAAAAAGGCAAAATAACATAACACACCTTTTTTTATTATTCTACAATTTGGATTTTTATTTGCATGCTTCTCAAGCTACTTAAACGGCACGTTTTATGAAAAAAATCTGTATAAAATTTACTTAGAATACTGTTCTATAACAACTTTTCAACTTTGTAAGAGTTGATTCATTTATTTATTTATACCCTTAAATTGCTAAAAAAATAAGATAATTCATCAATTTTAACTAAGGCCTTAATATATAGTTCAACTCTAACTAATTTGTATACTGTAGACCTTTATCTCTCATTGAGATGACAAAAAAAAATGTATAATTTGGCGATATCGCAATGACCAAGTTTTTAATGGTAATCAATTGTCTAACCCGGTGTAGGTTATCTTTGTGTTTTTTTTCTATTGACTCCACTCTTAATATACGACGCTACCGCAGGAGAAGCATGATATCATGCGCAATAGTGCTATACTTTTGGAATTGGGAGCGAAAGGTTTTTTATTCCACGATGGATAGCGTAGTTTTATTTGAATTGTTGACTGAATCTATGTGGTTTAACGCTAGCTAACAATAAAGGGGAGTTGGGGGTTCGTCCCATCACCTATTCTCTTTTTTTTTATTTGTTGAATAAATTTATGGCTATGTGTCTTAGGGCATAAGCCAAAGATGTAAACCATTTTTATTATCTTAAAAAGATAATTACAGGTTACGATATCGAAGATGCAATAATCAAACTCTCTAGAATCTACTGGCACCCAACCTGCTTTGCCGAATCTCCGATTGCGACCTTCACAAGAAGTACCAAAACTGAACGATATTAATAAGACCTTTAAATTTTCTGCAGAAGAACAAAATTATGAAACACTTAATTAATCTGGGTAACAAACCAGGTACTTACGCAATCCTTGATCTTAAAAAATAGAAGAATTCCAAGAAGTACATGTGCATTGAACCAGCACCTAGTGCTTTTCTAATTTCTTTAGGTTAGCAGCCACCAAACAGTAAAGGCCATAAAGCAGGACAAAGGTGCAAGCTCAACCAAAGTAGTGCTGGACTATTATAGATTAATCCGAAAAGACTGACCCACTCTCAAAAAGGTCAAACTTCAACCAACTTCTGCAGCAGTCTGTGTGTTTCTGTCAAAAAGTAAAGCATTTGTGTAGTGTGCAGTTGTGCACCCACCGCGTGTTCCTTTTCTTGAAACCCAGCATATTTATTAGATGCAAGTATAGCATAATCAAATAGTTTTAAGACATTAAGTCATATAGTCATGTTTGGATAACGACCGACTTGTAAAATTGACTTGTTTATGAAGAGAGCAAGTCATTCTTTTTAGTAATGTATAACTCGGCCGTTTCATCAGATGAAATTTATCCTAAGCAGAAAAATAATTTGTATTAGTATGTAAATACTAAATAGGTTAGCTCAGATGTATTATGGTTAGAGCGTGTAGATTCCCAAAACAATACCACACCAACATAAAAAATTGTATAGAGCATCTCGAGAAGCGTCAACAAAACTTATCCCTTATATTTTTAATTTTTTTGTGTTGGGATAGTCCAAAAAATTCCTCCCATTCATTTCTTCACTCTCGAGCAAATCCCCTCCATTATATATTGGAGTAAATTCCCTGTATGCTCAATGTTCTGCTCTCACTTCTTTATATCCGCTAAATTTTGGTTTTGATCCCTTACATGTCCTTTCTGTTAATTGATCATTTATTTGCTTTGAAAAGGTCTATTTTGCCCTTATGTATCGAAGAAGTATAGAAATTAAACATTCATTTTTATTTACTAAAACTAGTATATGTAGCATAACTTTGTGATAGTAGTGCAATAGATTTACCGTCGGTTGTATACCTTATCTAAAAGAAAATGATATACGAGATAGATTTGATTGTTTTTCTTCCTATTATAGAAAAATGCTACACATGCATTTTTTTCATATGTATTAACATTTTACGTATAATACTTCCCCATGCAATAAAAACTAGGTGCGCAATAAACAACTATATTTTCAACGGTAGATTTTTTTTACATATCTAAGGGTAAAACTGGCTTTTATGTGCTCATTACAAGGTCAACTAGTGGTCAACTAACGGAAAAATATGAGAAGGATCACAACCAAAATTTAGGAGTATATAAGAGAATGAGGAAAATTCAGGGGCGTAAGGATTGGTTAAAATTTTAGAGGTATAGAAGTAATTTTCTCATTATATAGAAATGACAATAGGGGATGAACTTCCATCTTTCAAATATAAGGGATGTTAGAGGGTAGATAGGAGGAACCTGAAAATAAGAGAGAAGGAATATTATTTATGAGATAGTGGATTTAAAGTCCTAAATTTAATGATGGAGTCATACATCTACCTTATATAAGCCAAAAAGAAAATATTCTCAAATCTAACTTTTGGTTTTTTAATAGTGTAGTAGTGGTTTATGGCTTTAAAAAAACAAAAAAAAGCTACTTGTTTGTTTAGGTTTAAACTTTTCGACTTATAAGTTGGCTTATAAGTCTAAGCAAATAGGGCCATAGGACATTTTTGTTGGAGCTAGTTTTTCTCCAATCACTAAATTTTGCTAAAGGACAACATGTAGGACATCGAGCAAAGATCTTGTTTTTTCATCCCCAATTCCCATCCTCTCACCTGTATTGGACATGGACAGAGGTTTGGTTTATCCCAATAAGTACTTAGTAGTACTTACTACATATAGATAATTGCTAGGATATTACTACTTGAGCATCGTTATAACCTCAACTTGTAGCAAGAGTCGATAAATTCTACTAGTTTGTTTTAAGATGGTTTAGCTAAGCTAAAGAAAAAATTAAGTAGCAATCAAGTTGGTTGCAAGCTAATTTGTTTACTTCAATCTCAGCACAAATTATTTGATTTCCCAACAACTTGAAAAAAGAAACTAGACATTTGGCACGAAAGCAACCAGAAACAAGCAGAAAACAACGTAGCACGCCATCACCGTTGTCGACAACTCGACCAATGTTCCCACCACGACACAAATGTTTGTGGTGCATGCGAGCTCGTGTTCATACAACACGTCTCCTTTGTGGCATATTTATTTTTTTCCCTCCCGTTGCTATGGATGGACTAATGGTTCAAGTTCTCTCGTCACCGTCGCCAACACGATACAATAATTGGGCCATGAAAGGGACAGCCCCGATCACTAGAAACCACAAAGCTAATGAGCTTGAATTTTCCAAACAATCTTGACACATGCCTCCACCTCCCCCCAAAAAAATTGTCTTGCAAGGTAAGGGAGAAAGAAATGAAAGAAAAAAAAATCTCTAAACAAGCTATGTCAATCAAGCTAGGGAGAGGGCTCCATTAGGACCCACAGGATGATGAGATAATGATATGCACCTTGAAGAAAACACTTTCTCCACATCAAAGAGAAAAAAAAACCAAGAATTCCCCTCTCCATCTCAATACCTCATCCCCATCTGATTCCTCCGTCTAAACAACAGCAACAGCAGCAGCATATGTTAGAGAAATCCTCTCTCTAGAACCAAAAGACAGTACTAGTAGTAGTAGCAGATGGAGAAGGGTAGAGAGAGAGTGAGAAGCACAAGCACCACCACCACTATGAAAGCAGCAGGAAAGAGAAAGAGTAGCACACTGTAGCAGGAGCAGCAGCAGCCAGCAGCAGATGATGCAGAGCAGCTTTAGGCAGTAATCACCACCACCACCTCCTCCTCCTCTCTCTTGTTTCTTTCCAATTTACCAGTTGTTGTTCCTCACCTCACCTGTTGTTGTTGTTGCTGCTTCTCTCTCTCTTCTCTCTCCCTTTCTCTGCCTTTCCCCACCACCTCTACCACCCACTCCTTCCCCAATTCCAGCAAGAATCCAAGACATCCTCGCCTTGTGCTCTTGGTTCGACATTCTTGAGGTGTTGAGGGTTGGCTTTCTTGGATTGGATTGGTTCTTGGCGGCGTTGCGGGGATTGCTGTGGGTGGAGGTCGCTTTCATGGCGCGGTGGCGTCTCTGAGACGACCGTGACCTCCCCTGCTCGCCTTGCCGACCGGGAAAGGCAGAGGGTGGTCGTTCTTGATGGCCTCCCGCGGCAGGGTCGGCGGCTGCGGAGGCGGAGGCGGTGGACGCAACGGGGACAAGTGGAAGCCCGCGTGGTTGCTCGAGCTCGTCCTCGCGATTCCGGCCATGTCCACCAACGACAAGAAACCCTGGAGCGGCGGCGTTCTTGGCCCCCGTCAGAGCTAGCTCGCCCCGGATTTCTTCTCTGCTAGTGTGGCGCGTTTCTTGGAGGCTTTGGGGCGGCGGCGGCGGCAGTGAGATGAGCAGGGTCGGAGAGTGCGGCGGCGGCGGCGGCTGCGGGGCACGGCGAGGGAAGGCGGCGCACGCCGGTGCCGGGGCGGTGGCCGGGTTCCTGGGGTGCTTGCTGCTGGTGTGGGCGATGGGTGGGTGTGGGAGGGGGTGTGGTGGTGGTGGTGGGGAGGGTGTGAGGGACAGGGTGGAGGAGGTGGCGGCGCAGTTCAACCTCAGCATGAGCAAGCTGCAGGCGCTGGCGTCGCTCCTGTCTTCGCCGGAGGTAAATTCGCCCTCTTGCTTGCTTGGTTTGATTGCTCCACTAGCTTTTGATGATCATCATGCTCTCCATGTGTACTGTACCATTGCAATTTGGATGTGATAGATTTTGGGATAATTCGTAGGCGCGCTAGATGTATGCGCTTTACGCATTTACGGATGTTTCGCGTGCGAAGGAATATATATAATGCCTTGGTGTGGGGTGTTTGGAAGTTTATAATTGTAGCTGCCTAGACCATATGTTTCAGTCTCGCAGCATTTATACGTTCCTAATTGATGTATTTGTGGACTGGATGTTTTGGTAGTAATGGGAAATTTTAATGAGTACATGGATTTCCGGTATTATCTTAGTGGAGACAGTCAACTCTGTTTAGATGGAGATTAGAAATTTATGCTGTTTCGTCACTTGTACGGGGGAGGAAAGAACATGTACTAGGATACTGCAAAAGAAATAAACACTTCGATTGGGACCTACCAGAAAATTTGTGGATTGCTTGTTCCTTGTGGTGTCAATGATTATAAAAGTGGTACATTGGCCTGGAAAGTCAATAAGTACGCGCTGTTTGTGAATTGTCGAACTGGATATTTGAGACATAGATAGGTCGTGCAAATTTGAGGTTTGTACAGAGAAAATTCCATGCATATGAGAGTTCCTAGAATCCCTTATTTGTTAGTATTAGAAAAAACATGTTCCTTCCATTCCACTCAGGTTGAACTTTTCCTCCTCATATGCCAGTGCCATCCATGTCCTGTTAACAGACCCATGAATAAGACCGAAATGCCCTCTGCAACCTCTTCCCTTCTCTTGTCAAACCATTGGTGAGGGAGCTTCCATTCTGGCAGCATGAGCCACCTCCCGCTCCTTTCTCCGACATGGCATGAGCTCAGTGTTAAAGAAGGCACTAGACTCTAGATTATTGGCAGGGCTGATGTCTAGGCACTGCTTAGGACCGTTAGTCAGAGCAGAGAATAAACAAATGCAAAGCAGTGAACGAGGAGAGCAGAGACTGGAGAGCAGAGCAGAGTTAAAGAAATGTGGATGCCTTAAGATCACATAAATGCTTATTTTAGCATATTGGGTGCTTGTTATAGCATATTGGTTACAAAGTATTCCAGTCTTCTTTATCCTAGAAAAGCTAGAATAACTGCCACGTTGCTATGATCCCACAGGATCCTTAATCCAATCATTGAACTGACTTTCTACCATTTATAAATCTTCTTATGATTGTCCCATAAACAATTATCTCAATTTCAATCACCCTAGATATGACTGGTAGTTGTAGTAAGAAACAAGATCTCCCTTGTTGCATGTGTGGTTGGGGTAATCCAGGGAGGAAAAGAGAGAGCAAGCTGGTTTACCTTAGGTGCATTGTACATAATTTTGCTACCATAAGCTCAGAATCAAATGGCAAACTGTTCATACGAGCTAGATGTAGGGGAGTGAAATATGGTTGTCCTGTATTAATTCTTTATTTGTTGTGGTCAATAAAATGTCAGGCTATACACAAACTATTGACAAGTAAACTTTTAAATGCTGTGATGCAAGCAATCTTTGTTTATTCCCTGCAAGTGCAAATGAGAACCTTGAAGAGTAAATTTATGATGTTACAAAATCATGTTATTTGCACGATCTATTAATTGTGATAACATATACATCGTTATCTCATTATTGTTTTAGATAATATACTTCATTCATTATGCCCTGGGATCTTATCATCATGCATTTCTAACTGACGATTTGAACTATGATGTAGCGGGAATGCATATGTAAATCTGGTACGATCAATGATGATAATCCAGCCCACAGCATGCCTGATATGTCAAATTGTCGTCTTAAGAATAAACCATCTGGAGGAAATCAAAACAGGCTGGACAATGTGATTATTCAAGATTGTTGCGCAAATGAAGATAATTATGACAAAAATAATCATGAAAACAATTTATTGCAAAATGCCATGCAACAAGACATTGGCTCTCCTACGACATTGTGGAATGTGAGTGTTTTATGTTTCTCTTTATCCTGGATGAACTTGGTGAAGTGTCAAATTAGCTACATTTCTTTTTGCACTGTAAACTTGGAATATAGAGCATTAATGGAATTGGACTGTATTATAACATATTGTTAATGTGGCTGATTCATGAATGATCTGAACCTTCAACTCTTGTGACCTACTAACCAGATTGTCTACTTGACTCTAAATACTTCAGAGGATTGCATGATATTGGCATATCTATATGTTAGGTTGGATTTATTTTCTGCTACTTTGATGTAATGGGGATTGGCATCTATCTTGGCATTGTCCAATTAGTATGTAGCCACCGAGCTATCTTAACTAGAACAACAATAGGTCTCGTCAGTCTTACTGCCACATAGTACTGTAGGACTTGCTAGCCATACTATTATACGTCCAACTTGATTCCAATAACTCAAAGTCATGCTTAAGTCGAGCTTTTTCTTGAAGAAATTACAGAGCTGTCCTTTTGCCCTGCCAATTGTCAAATGCCAATAACTCAGGTGTGTTGATTCCTTTGCAGAACATGTTAAATTGAGCTTAAATGAGGCTAAAGTAGAAAAAAAAACTATATTTACATCTCTTAAGAAATAACTTCCTACGGAATCTTCTTGTATCAAATAATGCTATTAATTTCACAGTTTTGTATTGCCTAATCAGAGTTAATTATCCTTTTTTTTTCTGCAACTGTTTTTGACATTTCATTTATTAAAGAGAAGCACCTTCTCCATGTTTCTAATGCCATTTTTGGTTTGTATTGTGATTATCTATTTTCTTGACTTACAATGTCATGATTCATAGCATGTTGATCTTTAACCATTACAAATTCCTATTGATTGTACCTTTTCGTTTTCAATATATTTAGCTATGCCTATGTGACTTGTGTATTGTCATTAATGGGCTGAATGTACAGCAGAATAACGCCTTGAGCTTCAATCACGGGATGATATTTAGTTTGTCTGCTTCCCTTGGAATAGTTGTAATTTTGGTAGTTATAACTATTTTCAAAAGAGGGAAGCAAGCAAATGAACTGTGTCAGCATGAGAAACTCCTCCAGACACCGAGTGTTAAGATAAGTCGAAAATGGTCAAAGAGAGCCCTGCTTCTTGGTGTCTTAGTTGGGCTTTGTAGTTCTGTCTGGATATTTTCAAGCATGCATGCTGATGTTGTTGCTAGAAGAATTGAGAATCTTGAAAATATGTGTGATGAGAGAGCTAGGATGCTACAAGATCAGTTCAATGTAAGCATGAACCATGTGCATGCATTGGCTATTTTAGTCTCAACTTTTCACCATGGGAAGAATCCTTCTGCTATTGATCAGGTTTGCTTTCTTTGGATACATCTTTCTTAATTGCAAGGGTGATTCAACAAACTTTTAATATTATTAAAATTTTTTTGATAATTTAATAATTTAATCAGGTTTCTAAAAATGCATTGTAAAAGAAATTAGCTGTGAAAGTTGTATTTTGAAGGCCGTGTGATCAAAATGGTATGTTTTTGTGACTGACTGGAAGGAGTATAAAATCTGATTAGCCATTAGCAATTTGTTTGTCCAAAGAAAAATGTTTAGAATAGGTGTCTCCATTCAAAACTGCTTATACCATGATAAGTCACTGGGAAAAAAACATCATTATAGCTGAAACAGGAGGCCAGGAGGGGATGCACAGTTTTTCAAAGATTTATGTTATTTAAAAGAAAACATCTTGTTATTTTCTATCCTATTAATACTGTGCATTTTTTCAAGATTATGAGATCTTGTTATCATTGACATTTGACAGAAAACATTTGAGGATTTCACGGCTAGGACAACATTTGAAAGGCCATTGATGAGTGGTGTTGCCTATGCTTTGAAGGTGCTGCACAGCGAAAGGGAGTTGTTTGAGCAAAAGCTTGGATGGAAGATTAAGAAAATGGAGACCGAAGATCAATCCCTTGTTCATGACTACAATCCTGAAAAGCTTCAGCCTTCACCAGTTCAAGATGAGTATGCACCTGTTATTTTCTCCCAGGAAACTGTAAAGCACATTATATCAGTTGACATGATGTCTGGGAAGGTGAGCTACTATATCTGCAAGCCCTTGTGTATATATATTTATTTATTTCTGAATAGGATAAACTTATTTAACTTCTGATTAGACCTTCATTTTTTTTTTCAAATTGTGAAATGAGTAATTCAGAATCTAATAACGTCTTACTTTAAAAGGATGGGTGCATGAGGTATTATTCTTTACATGGCAGTTCCATATCCCAAATTAGAAATCCGACTCACAGAGGAGTCCCTATTCTAGTATAACTACAAACTATATGTAGTCTCAGACAGACAGCAGTCCCATAACTTCCCCTTTATCATTTTGATTTGCTCCATGGCACTAGCCTGCCTTGGCCCTTCAACCTAGTCTTGCTACACAGACTCTAACCACTTTGTCCTGTATGAGCCATATACAACACTGAGCACAAGCGAAGCCCATCCCATTGGACATGGAATCTGCTGTTGCTGTGTTGCAATGTTGCTGCTGAGGCATATTGCCAATCTTTGTGTGGACTCTGAGGAGGCCTTCATGCTGAACCGGATGGTGACATGGATGAGCGAACTCACTATCGAATGTAAGTGAGACACAAACATAGTGGCTGTCCACAGTGGCAGCGATAGGAAGGAAGAAGCTGGCATGGAGAGTGAGGGAGGCAGTAGCGAGTGCCAAACTCTGCGAGAGATGAGGGTCATGAACAAGAGGCAGCGAAGTACAAGCAAAGGCCGCGTAAAAGGTTTGATTAGTTATGTTGGATCCATCTCAGTCCAAACAAAATCTGTAGAAGTGGTTTGATCTGAGTTGGTTCAGCATGATTAGCCGTCTTGCAGCAGACTGTGAACAGCTCTGGACCCTGGCAGACCATGTATACAAACCTAAAGAACATGTTTGAGTTTTATTACTAACTTTATTTTAGACAAGGGAAGTGTAAACTCCTGGCCTTTGCATCAGCTAGGGATGCACACAACCATTACATTATTAGTCCCCCTGTTCCAAATCATACGATTTTTCGGTTTTGTCCTAAGTCAAACTTGTGGACCAAGTTCATAAAAAAAACATAGCAGCATCGCCATATGCAAGACGTGGAGCCTGGTCATCCACCCAGGGTGTCTGGGTTCTAAATTTGCCCGTGTGTGCCCCTGTCCACGTCCCTTTGGGATGCAAGCTTTATGTACAAATTATATGAAATTTTGCACTATAATTAGTGTCATGCACAAGTACTATTGTTACTTAATCAATCAATTGATCAAGAATCATCAAACAAAAACTTGTGATTCATTTCTTGACACTATGATCTTGATTTCAGGAAGATCGTGATAATATATTGCGCTCACGGGCAACAGGCAAAGGGGCCCTAACAGCCCCTTTCCCACTTCTTAAATCTAATCACCTTGGTGTGGTGCTAACGTTCACTGTGTATAAGTATGATCTTCCTCCAGATGCAACTCCAGAGGAGCGTATTGAAGCTACGCTGGGGTAATATCTGTTTCCTAATAAATGTCAAGTTGAACTACACACTTATATTTATTTCTTTTTAAGTTTGAGAGAGTTTTCTATCAAAAGAACTTTGAGAGAATTGACCATAGATTTGTTGTTAACACTTGACAGTTATCTTGGTGCCTCATTTGATGTTCCGTCTCTGGTGGAGAGACTCCTGGAGCAACTTGCTAGCAAACAAAAGATAGTTGTTAGGCTGTATGACATCACAAATCATACTTATCCTACTAAAATGTATGATTCGGATGTTATTGCATCTGATGATCTGCATATTAGTAATATTGATTTCGGGGACCCGACACGCAAACACGTAATGCATTGCAGGTACTTCTTTCATTGTGCTTGGGATTATACTTTTGTACTTGAAAATAAGCTCACTCAATCCATTTTCATATTTTTTATGTCAGATTCAAGCATGCACCTTCACTGCCATGGTCTGCAATTATGATATCTTCAGCAGTAGCTATAATTGTTTTGCTTGTTGGCTATATTATCTATGCTACTCTGAATTCTCTTGAAGAGGCAGAAGATAATTATACGACAATGAGAGATTTAAAAGGACGAGCTGAAGCTGCAGATGTTGCTAAGTCCCAGGTCCTTCTATCTCTAGCAGTGTTCTTATCTTTTGCTATGTTTCTTTAGTCTCCTCCATGATTGCTTTCCTTCTTCTCCTTATCCGCTAAGTAGATCTTTGTTTACCTTGCAGTTTCTAGCAACTGTTTCACATGAGATTAGAACTCCAATGAATGGTGTACTAGGTTTGTCCTTTATACTTTGTTTTTAATTATTCTTTTCTATCACATTGATACCTTCTGTATTATCGTCAGAAGACAATGCTAAATGAGTTATGAGAGTGGATTTCTACCTGAACCAGGTATGCTACAGATGCTCATGGATACGGAACTTGATACAACTCAGCGGGATTTTGTAGTTACAGCTCAAGAAAGTGGAAAGTCATTGATAAACTTAATAAATGAAGTACTTGATCTCGCTAAGATAGAATCAGGCAAAATTGAGCTGGAGGCGGTGCGATTTGATGTCCGTGATATTCTTGACAATGTGGTATCTTTGTTTTCTGAAAAATCATGGGCTAAGGGCATAGAGGTGAGTCGTAATCTATACCCATTGGACTCTAAGCTTTTCATTCAACGGGATGTTAGGACCTGAAATATGTTGTTTTTGCGAGGGTAGTTGGCTGTACTTGTATCTGATCAAGTTCCAGATGTTCTGATCGGGGACCCGTGGCGGTTTCGGCAAATCATTACAAATCTTGTAGGGAATTCTATGAAGGTCAGTTTTAAATCTAGATTGGCTACCATAATTCCTCTGATCTTCAATTTATTGTTATACTCTGGAGAACATTGTTGTTGTGGGTTCCTTATTCTGTCATTTGCATACATCTATATGCTGTGATGCTTTCATATAACAGCAGTAGCCAGTAGGAGAAAGTATGATCCAGTACTCGCTGTTTTGATATTTATACAAGTGAAAGCTCAAACTGGATTTCCTTATGTAGATTACAAACATGGCAGTTGCTTTGGTTAGAACAAAAAAGTAGAGTTCTGTCTATTATGCAATAATCTTTCACTGATATAATCTTTTCCAAATATGGCTTCCTGTAAATACAGTTTACTGAACAAGGTCATATCTTCATTCGAGTGCATTTAATTGAGGAAGTGAAGAGAAAAATGGAAGCTCTGGATGACACTTCTCCTGAAAACATAGAAGTTACAGCGAATTCCAAAAATACGATGCCATATAATACTCTAAGTGGGCTTGAAGTAGCAAATAATCGGAAAACCTTGGAGAGTTTCAGGATGTTCAAAGATTCGTCAGATGCAATAGATTCAGTGAACTTACTAGTAACTGTCGAAGACACTGGCATAGGAATAACTAAGGATGCTCAAACTCGCATTTTTACACCTTTCATGCAAGCGGATGGTTCCACCTCAAGGACATATGGTGGAACTGGAATTGGTTTGAGTATTACGAAACGCCTGGTTGAATTGATGGGTGGAGAAATAGGGTTTGTGAGTAAACCAGGAGTTAGTAGTACATTTTCTTTTACTGCTATTTTCAAGGAAAATAGGAAAGATCCAGGGGATATCAAAAGGTATTGTCCTGAACCTACTCCACCAGATTTTCAAGGAATGAGAGCGCTTGTTGTTGACGGAAGATGTGCTCGTGCTGAGGTTACCATGTACCATCTGCGGAGACTTGGAATACAATGTGATCTTGCAGCCACATCTGAATCAGCACTTTCTGCTCTATTGGAATCCTGCAATTCAAGGTTCGGTTTCTTTGTGTATCATGCTTCAGCTTTATATTTTGCAACCCATTCAAATGGCCGTAGCTTGCCTGCTGGCTCAGGTCTAATGAGCATCAATATTTCACAAAATGGCATTAGTATAATTTTCTGAGTTGGTTAGATATTCGGATTTTCTCTGTATTATTTGGCATCAAAACAGAGAAAGACAATTTACTAATCAACAGAAGGGATAAAAGAGTAAAAGATGAAGCTTACATTACTTGGATGACGATAAGATTTGACTAGAGATTAGGGGACCATTAGGTTTAGTGGTTTGCTATGTTGGTTTACAAGTCTTGATGCTCAACGAGACTGTTAATTTCTTTTTCTGGTATTAATGACATCATAAATGTTGGATAAATATTTGTTTACTTGAGTTTTATTGTGAAGCCATCATAAATATGCTGTTATGCTTTCAATATTCATAAAACTATTATTATGTATTATTTTCTGACACTGTTGCATTTTATGTGTTCAAGTGTAAAAAGCAGTCTAAATATGGTGCTTGTTGACAAAGAAGCTTGGGGCGAGGACTCAGGCTTGGCATTTTTCCGGTGTCTTATAGATCTTCGGCTGAAGGGCACACTCAAGTCTTGGCAAACCATGCCAAAGTTCTTTCTTTTGGCAGGTTCAATAACTCCTGCTGACTCTGATTGTTTGAGGTTGGCGGGGTATTCTAATAGCATAAGAAAACCCCTTCGTCTTAGTACTGTTGCTGCTTGTCTTAGTAAAGCACTAGGGGTTGGACTTACAGGCCGACGAAGTAGAGATAATTCTTTGGTTCTTCGAAGTGTACTAACAGGAAAAAACATTTTAGTTGTGGACGACAATGCTGTTAATCGCATAGTTGCAGCTGGTGCTTTGAAGAAATATGGAGCTATAGTTACCTGTGTGGACAGTGGAAAGGAGGCAATTTCTAGGCTCCAGCCACCTCATAAATTTGATGCTTGTTTTATGGATGTTCAGATGCCTGAGATGGATGGGTAATCTTCCTTCCCATTTGTTAAAATTCATCTAATGATGCCTTCTAAAGACATTATTTTGTGTTACGTGCTTCACTGTGTTATAAGATGAATTAGTAACATATCCTTATTGCTTAAATATCTCTTGTAGTTTCTTCAAATGGTTTCATATTGAAATAGGTCGCCTTTTTTTCTTTCACAATTGCAGTCTTGAGCTAGAATTCTTTTTTTTTATTATTGTGTCCATTGTAATGAACGACTTCATAAGTCTATATATGGATTGTTATGAACTTTGAAATAACCAGAAAACTTACTACATGTAGAACATCGTACATTCTTTATAACAAGTGTCTTCTGCAATTGGATCAACTGAACTGCTTCCTTTTTTTTTTTTTGCAGGTTTGAAGCTACTAGATTAGTTCGTTCTGTAGAAAGTAAAATCAATGATACGATCCAGGCAGGTGAAGTGTCTTCCGAGATCTATGGAAATAAGGCCCATTGGCATGTACCTATATTAGCCATGACAGCGGATGTAATTCAAGCAACTTTTGAGGGATGTATGGAATGTGGAATGGATGGATATGTGGCAAAGCCATTTGAAGAACAGCAACTTTACTCTGCAGTTGCTCATTTCCTAGAGGCTGATGCAACAGATCCATTGACCTAGGAGATTTAGTTTGCTAGTGGCCACAGTGATTCAGGGTTCTCTGATGCAGCATCTGCTAAAAACCCATTTGGAGATAACAATATTGCAAAGCAGAAGAGCTATGCAGTAAATCGAGAACAGAAGTTTGATTGGACTGCTATTTATGTTTCATTTGGTAAGTTTCAACTGAACACATTAAATGTGCAAGCTTTAGTAACTTAGTCAAACACCATGTAGTTGCGCTAATAAGTAAACTCCCTCCGTCCCAGAATATAAGAAGTTTTAGGGTTGTACACGGTTATTAAGAAAGTAGGTAGAAGTGAGTGGTGGAGTGTTGTGATTGGATGATTAGTGGAGGTAGGTAGGAAAAATGAATGGTGGATGGTTGTGATTGGTTGGGAAGAGAATGTTAGTGGAGAAGTTGTTATATTTTGGGACAAATTCTAATGGCTAAAAGTTATTATATTTTGGGACGGAGGGAGTAATAACCTGACTTTTAGTTCTTTTTCTTGCTGGTTAATACACATAATTATTTTCAATATTCATTTGATCATTAAGATGCTTCATCTGAAATTCCTGCTTCTCAAATATATATGATAGCTCTCAGGGAGGTCTAACATCAAATTTAGAACATCCCACAAGTTTTTGGCATCTGAAAATGGATGATAGAAATATTTTGGCTATTGGATATTATACTTGTTTTGCTTTCTTTTGAATAATTGGATGCTATGACCCTTCTTGTAGAATACTTGGCCCTGGATTCCGGAACCATTAAGTTCAGCCTACGCTAGCAATCAAAATTTTGTTTCATCTGTTAATTGTTATCTTGTTTCGTCTGTTAATTGTTATTCCCTCCGATCAAAATTATCTGTCGTTTCCAACAGCAAAACAGAACTACTAGCAGGACATTTCTACTGTCTGAAACGACGAGTATTTCCGATCGGAGGGAGTGTCTTGTTTCATCTCTTAATTGTTATCTTGTGTGTGTTCTACAGACAATTGGATGAAATCTATTTCAACATCACGCCTTCAGCCATGTGCTTAAGGGGAAACTTTGACCATTTTTACCCAGTGGAAATCAATGAGGGACATACATTGAACTGACATAGCCTCCTTCATGCTGTTCCAGTGTAGTGGCTGACAAGATGACATCAATGGCGTTCTTGTTGTACAGCTAATATAGATTATGAGAAGGCTAATGCTCCTGTTTATTCTGTATTCTTGAGTGTACATATGAAATGGCAAGAAAATAGTGAGAGTTGGAGGATTTGTCTGGTGGCTTGAAGAATGTAAATAGGAATGTTCATATCCATCTTTTCTGAGGTCTGGTTATGTGGGGTGTAAGTTGTACATATGTTCTCTTGTAGAAATGTAATTGATTATTAGATTACGGCAATGTTCCAAAAAAAGTATATATATTATGCTTCCAAATCCTTGCTTGTTGAGTGCCCTGTAATTTTCATTTCAAATAGAACAAAATGCAAATTGTCCGGAAGATCCAAATTGTACACTTCTTTTATTGAACATTTGGGAGCATATGTTGGCAATGGCTGTGGAATATGTTTATATATCTTTGAACCTTTTCAGAGAGAATTTTGAAAATCTGTGGTCTAGTGAAGCAAAACTCAAGCTTGTAGTTTTGTTATGAAATTGGTACATCAAAATCACATCTAGGGTTCTCTTTGTAAATTTAAGGGATTTTGGACAGATAAAGTGTCCCATCCATCCAAAGTCCCACTTTAGGAGGGAGGGAGTATATTGTTCTACCATGCAAACAAGATGTCGATGGCATGGCCAAAAGCTTTATTATTTTTAGAAAAAAAAGTCCAGAACTCTAAATTACACCAAAACATTGGAGACCCTCCCTAAACAGCACACTCTAGAACGAAGAATAAATAAATAAATTGCTTAAAGCCTACTCCATCCTAAAATACAACAACCTACGACTACTATCTATATTCGTAGTACTATGATATATTCTCTCTAGTCGTTATTATATTTTAGAATGGAGGTAATATAAGAAAATTTATTTGTGCACTTATCCTCATCAAGTTTTAGAAAAGAAAGCGAAGTGAGAGTAGCTCGAGTGGTTACGTTCTTTGTATTAGAACCAACCCACCCGGATTCAAATACATTCAACACGGGCAGGGCCGGCCCTGACAGGGGGCGAGCAGTGCAGCCGCACTGGGCCCCCCAGATCGTAGGGGCCCCACCCCACCCCCCGCGTAGCCTCTATGCTGCTGTGGCCCAAGTAACAGGAGCCAACATGCTATGCAACGATACCGAACAGAAGTTACAGACACAGAGACGTTCCCAATTCCTTCCTATGAGGCGAGATTGTCGCCGCACGGCGCGTGCGTCATGACGACTGAAGTCCATCGGAATGACTCTACGTTATACCGGCGGCCGCCGTTCAGTTCATGATTCATCCCGCGTCGTCGTCGTCGTCGGCGGCGGCGGCGGCACATCAGTGCGCGGCGCCGTCACGCCATGGTCCTCCGCCATCGACTGCAACCGCATCTGCTGAATTGCAGGATGCCTAACGCCTGACGATCAAAAGTCAAGGGGAGGTATGGAGGTGAGCAGCAGCATATGAACATTAATTGAAATTTTCTAGTTCTATCTGCACTGCACCTTGGCACCTTGCTATGCTAGGTTAATAGGTCAGATTTGTTCTGTCTCCTCTTATCAGAGATTCTAAGAATCATAGAGCTTGGAGAATTGGAGTTGTAAACGTTAGCGTTGGTAAAGCTGTTAGTGGTTAAGTGGTTTGGCAAAAGAAATTATTGGATGAAATTGATATTGATACCACCATGAGTGGTATCGCATGCATAAATGTCCAAAATTTTTAAGGTAACAACTAGCAACTGACAACTCATGTATATACTGATTATTATTTAGATATTATACTAAGGGCCCTATCTCTAGTTTCGCACTGGCCCCTGAAAACTCAGGACCGGCCCTAAACACGGGTGCTCGCATTTACGACTAATTATTCTTTCAATGGTAGACGACGTACCCGTTGACAACGAGACGCCCGTGAATAGTCTTCTGGAGGTGCTCATATGGGTAGGGAGGCGCCCACGGATAGTCTTCTAGAGGTGCTCGTATGGGTAGGGAGGTGCCCACGGATAGTCTTCTAGAGGTACTCATAGGATAGGAGGCACCTGTAGGGTTTGAAATTTCGATTCGAAATTTCTAAAATTTTGGTAATTTCGCCCCCCTACCGGCATACTCAAATCTCACCCGAAATTTTTGGTTTTTTGTAATTTTTTATGAATTTGGTCAAATTTTATTCAAATTCATTCAAATTCAGTCAAATTTTCAAATAATTTCGGCCAGAAATTTACGAAATTACCGAAATTTCCAGTAATTTCGGTCCCCCGACATAAAATCCAATTTCGAAATTAAAAACCCTGAACACCTGTGGTGACTTCATCGATATCAAGATATGCCTCTTAGAAAAGTTTTAGAAAAGAAAAATACGGCAAAGTGCTCACCCATTTACAAGGGAAAAGAAGGCCTACAAATCCAACCATCGTCATCCATAGGTATGACCCATTCTTGGTTCGATTTGCTATCCATCTCCTGTGTGATTTTTTTATGGCATTTGACATTTTTTTTGGCCGCTATGCACCACTTGCGATGTGAGCGGCAGCTCACGGCCTGTGTCACCCAGCAATATGGCTAATGCTGCTCGGCGAGCGACACCGTCCCTCTCGTCGTCGTGAAATATAAAATTACGATCCTATATAACTAAAATTACATTTGTAAATTTAGTTAATATGACATGTAAGCGCACTGTAATTTTGATAAAAATAATGTGTAAGTAAATATGTATTTGTTATTTTCTTTAAAATATAAAAATACAGTCCTATATAACTAAAATTATATTTGTAATTTCAGTTGATATGACATATAAGTCCACTGTAATTTTGGTATAAGTAAATATGTATTTGTTATTTTCTTTAAAATATAAAATTACAGTCTTATATAACTAAAATTACATTTGTAAATTCAGTTGATATGACATGTAAGTGCACTGTAATTTTGATAAAAATAATATGTAAATAAATATACATTTTTTTATTTTCTTTTGTAGTTCGTTGGATGTAAATCTAAAGATAGAAAAAATCTAGGTGATTTTTTTTAGAAATCACACGACAAATGGATAGAGTTAGCAAATTCGTTGTGCGTAATAAAAAAAAATCGGAAGCAAATTATCGATGGGCCGCACGAAGCCACGTACACAATTGCGTGACGGAACCCAATAGAAAAAAAGTACACTGAAGGTCCCTCAACCCTCAACTTGTCATCGGGATAAAAAACGTCCTTGAACCGCAAAACCAGGGTCCCTTAGCTATAGAAAACCGGTCACAATAGGTCCCTCGGCGGTTTTGATCCCGGTTTTGTCCTACATGGCTGCTGAGTCAGCGTGGGACCCATGTGGACCCCACATGTCAGGATGCCACGTCGACACCTTTCTATTTCCCCTCTTCTCTCCCTTCTCTCTCACTTCTCTGCTTCTTTGCGCAGGCTAGCCGACGGGAGGGGAGGAGGCCGGTGGGGCGCGCCCACCGTGCGCTCCGCGAGGTGGGTCGCAGCGGCGGCGGCGTCGTCGTCGCCGGCCGCGCCATCTCCGTCCAGTTCGCCACGTACCGCTGGCGCAGACCCGTCCTCTGGCGCCGCGGCGGCGGCGGGGAGGCGGGTGTACGTGACCAACGTTGCACCGGGCGCGAGCGCGGAGCGGCTGCGTGCCTTCTTCGCGGGGTTCGGGGAGCTCGAGGGCGGCCCGTTCGGCTTCGACGCTGAGACAGGATTCTCCCGCGGGTGCGCGCTCTTCGTGTACCGCGCGGCGGAGGGCGCCAGCTCGCCGCCTACCCCGCCTGGAAGAGCAAACCACGCATGCCGCCGCCGCTGCGTGGAATCACATTTGTAAACAGATTACCACCCAATTCTAAAGCAATCAAGTTGGGAATGTTTGCTATACCAGAAGGAATTGATCCTAAGAACTGATTTAATCCCATGTGTATCAGTGTATGTACTGCCGTTGAGTGGAATGGTTTCCAAAAGAATTTGGCACATTGCCTTCAAAGCGATTACCATATATGGAGGACATTTGTAGCTCAGTGCAGTTGGCTAAGCTGTTCATAAACTCCAGATCTTTCTGGCTATGTGCATGGAATTTATTCAGCTCAAGATTTAACCAAGACAGTTTGGTAAGTTTGCCAATGGATCTAGGCACAACCCCAGTGAAACTATTGATTGATACTATATCGATCAGGTTTAACTTGGAAGCATTTGTCAATGAATTTGGGATATGCCCATAAAAGAAGTTGCCGCCCAATTGGAACTTTTGGAGATCTGGTAGAGAGTTACCGATATTGGATGGTAGCTCTCCGCTTAGATGATTGGAAGCAAGGGTAAGTTAAACAAGAGTAGAAAGATTCAGGATAGCTTGTGGAAACTGACCTGCCAATTATTTTTGCACCCAGATGCAAGTATACTAAACCAGGCAACTTTGCAAAATCATTTGGTATGCTGCCATCGATGTTATTATACAGACAACTAAACCTTTTCAGCGTTGTAATTTTGGCAACAGAAACAGGGATGGGTCCAGTAAGACTGTTAACTGAAAGTTGCAAGCTTTGAAAGCGTTGAGGCAAATCTGCAGGGATTTGTCCTACCAGATTGTTTCCATTCAGCCATAGCACCTTGAGGTTGGAACAGTTTGCAAGATTAGGCATCCTTCTTTGCAATGTGTTATTGCTCAAGTATATGATTTGCAGGTGATGCATATTACCAAAGGATTGAGGGATCTCTCCGGTGAATGAATTTGCAGGTACAAAGAGAAATTTGAGGAATGTTAGGTTTCCAAGAGGAGACATCTGCCCAATTAATCCTCTATTTGTGAGGTTTAGCGCCGGCAGCGGTGACGCCACGGCAGCGGCGGCCGCGCGCGTGGTTTGCTCTTCCGGCGGAGTCGGCGTCGAGCTGGCGCCCTCCGCCGCGCGGTACACAAAGAGCGCGCACCCGCGGGAGACGCGTCGAAGCTGAACGGCCGCCCTCGAGCTCCCCGAACCCGGCGAAGAAGGCGCGCAGCCGCTCCGCGCTCGCGCCCGGTGCGACGTTGGTGACGTACACCGCCTCCCCGCCGCCGACGCCGCCGCCGCGGCGCCAGAGGACAGGTCTGCGCCAGCGGTGGCGAACTGGGCGGAGACGGCGCGGCCGGCGACGACGACGCCGCCGCCGCGGCCCACCTCGTGGAGCGTGCGGCGGGCGCGCCCCACCGACCTCCTCCCCTCCGGTCGGCTTGCCTGCACAGAGAAAGAGAAGCAGAGAAGGGAGAGGAGGAGAGGGGAAATAGAAAGGTGTTGACGTGGCATCCTGATATGTGGGGTCCACGCTGACTCAGCAGCCACGTATGATAAAACCGGAATTAAAACCGCCGAGGGACCTATTGTGACCAGTTTTATATAGTTAAGGGACCCGCGGTATCTGGTTTTGCGGTTCGAGGAAGCTTTTGTATCATGATGACAAGTTGAGGGACCTTCGGTGTACTTTTTCCAACCCAATATGTCGTGGTGGGCTGGTGATGGCTGCGTCTCCATAGCCCTGCAAAGTTCTTTGGCCCATTGGCAACCTGTTAGTATTTGTGTTTGGCCCATTTTGTTTTACTCCAACTTGGTGTATAATAATTCGATTTCATATATGTAAAAACCTTGTCACTTGCAAAATTATACTATGATAGATCATATTTAGACTAAATTACAGTTCGAGCTAATTTTACATTGGTCGACCACAGTTCTCTCTTCTTCTTTTTTTCACTTTGTACCAGATAATTTTGTCTTTGATCTTTGTTTATAATTTGGATAACTCTAGACCACTTTTTTTGAGCACATCAACAAACACGAGTACATTGACTCTATATGCCGATGAACTCCATCACCCGTGGGCAAATCATATCTCTCTTTGGCGGACGCATGGTTAGACATGATTAGCAAGAGAATTGGTGTGGTCCAAAGTGTGAAAAGAAATTAAATTTAACTGGTCCAAAACAAAAGAAGATCAGTCAATAGATGGCACAAATTAAACTGCGGCAATTCAGTCCGATTGAATTGACTTATTTCCATCACGTTACACTAGGCAAAGCATATACACTAGCTGTGCCCAACTTATTTATTCATTTAGGTTACTACAGCACTGGTGATTGACATGGAGCTATAGCTGGATCGTTCAACCAATCATGGTGCCGCCGCGCCAATGCCGCAGCCCCTCCGCTCGGCGGTGAGCATGTGCGGCGCCTCGTCGATGGCCAGCCACTGATCCACCGCCCACCGGTGCGTCATCGACGGGAGTCTCCCCTGCCCGAGCTGCGTCACCATCACGTAGCTCACGTACCACCCGGGCTTGTTCCCAGAGCCGTCGGAGGTGAGCACCATGTTGCAGGGCTCCGACGGCATGCAGTCGCCGGCGCCCCTGAACCGGTCGAGGTTCCCCTTCTCGAAGTAGTCGTGGCCGGCGGCCATCTGGCCCCACGACTCCAGGTTGGCGACCGTCAGCGTCGGGCCCCTGGCGGCGCGCACCTGCAGCGAGACGCGGGCGTCGGTGCCGGCGTTCCTCCGGCCGTCGGTCTTGACGACGATCTCGAACGTGCATCGTGTGGTGGCGGCGGTGGCCGCGGCGGCGAGGAAGAGGATGAGGTAGCTGGCGAGGGCGAGGGAAAGCTTGTTCATGGTAAGCTTCATGTTATTTGTTATTGGATGTGGTATATGTGATGAATTGGGGAGTGAGTTTGGTGTGGTATTGCATGCCTCCACAATGTACCGTTTTATAGGAGGCAGAGGAGGGGTAAGGGCAATTGCACTAGCCAATGTTTTGATTAATAATAATTCTGTGACTTGTGGGATGCGCTACTGTGAGCTCTGACTGGGTGTGTATATTTTACGAGGGATATGTGGAAATTAAAATGGTCTGTGCCACGCGCCTTATCTTCTCGTAAAATTAGATCGGTGGCCGCCATTCTCAATTGACTAAACGCACCGACACACATGTGTACCCATCCCCTCTCTCCCCTCGGTCTTCGTTCGTGGCAGTACGAGTGAAAGTGCATGTTACATGAATGAAGAGAAGCTGTTATTAACATAATTTAGATGTTTTTTTTCTCTGATATCATTTACTCAAATTATACCATTGTGTTATAAAAGTCAAACACAAGAGTATTTGATATAAAAGCTAATTATACCATTGTGTTCGCTCAAATTATACCAAGCTACTACAAAACTACGGATTGATGATGATGTATCTCAAAACTACAAATTTAATATTATTTTTTATTTGCTAAACACCATACAGTGGTAGGTACCCATATACATGTGCACACTCAACACTATAAACATATATACGCGTATATCCTGCCTTAATATATGAGCACCTCCAAAGACTTAACAACCGTCTTGGCTGAATGGCGAGCCCATGGCGGCACCCGGAGCCCATAGGGAGTGGGTAGATACCGCCGAATGAACATCTGGGAGGGACCCCCATTTAGGATGAATGCACACCAATTTGTCCTAGACTCAGTAGGCCAGCTAGGATGTCCTCTAATGCTGTAGAGACGACAGACGATGAACAATTCGGGGATTGGAGGAGACTATATACAATTTGACATAGGTAGCAAGAAGAGGGAAGATGTAGTATATTGAGGGTTTCGAATAATAGATTGATTTTCACAATTGATTGATTATTGTTTCAATCGGTCTTGGCCCTTATATTTATGGGAGGGATGATCTTGCCTCTCTATCACTCTTGTCCATGTCCTAGTAAGTTTGAGAAGCTTTACAGTGAAGGAAACCCCAACGATCGAAGAAAGAAATATGAGGAAACTCCAATTGGATTCGAACTATATGTGCTAAAAGTCTGACCACCCACATATATACCTGCAGTCTGACCACAGTTAATTGTCCGGTCTAACTAGCCACACAATGGCGGTTGATCGACCTTCGCTAGGAAGTCTCGATATTTTTCAAATTTGGCTTTAACTTCCTATAAGTCTAAACTACTGCTAAATTTGAGTATCGACAAATCGGGATATCTTGAAATTGACAAAGTCAACACATGCGTCTATCTGTTGATGGATATGTCCCCTACCACGCTAAAGAGTAATTTGTCGTAAATGTGAACACTTGTATCAAGTCTAGTACTTAAACCCAGATGGACAGGTTTCACTACCAGGAACCTAACCAAATTGAGTTACGATCACTTTGCAACACCAAATTTTTCATGAAACTAAAGATTTAAGCTAGAGGCTCGTAAATCTACATATTTAATAAAATGGTTATCACAAAACTACAATATTTTAGAGTTCAAATTCCTATCATATTTCTATATTGGAGTTATAAACACTGTAATTTTGTGATTTAGTTGGTTCTAAACCTGTAGACTACTGATATTTTTTTAAGTAAATTTATATTTTTGTGATATATAATCATAAATCTGTTGTTCTATGAGAATTTTGGTGCTCAACTGAGTTTTTTTTTGATCCACCATCTTTAATCCAAAATCTATTGTATTGTAGTTTTGGGTTGATTAAAAAAAATGTGATAGTTTAGCCGAAGCATTTTTTTGTGAAAATTTTACTCTTACATTTTTATAACAAGATCTCACATAATTATTTTCTGTTGACATAAATATATAGTATGTTTGAACCGTTAAAATTTGATGTTTTATATGCGAGAAGTGAATGTCTTATGTTGTACATTGTAAGTTAATTGCTTTTGGTTGTGTGAATCCTTTTTAATGTGGCATGTGGTATCCTAAGTTTACTTTTAAATATTGCACATGATCTTTTTTTATGTTTTAACTCTTTTTTTTACATTTTAAAATTTAAAATTTTGTATTTTATGTATGATATGAAAATATTTTAATTATGGACATAATTATATATACTTTGTTATCAGAAATATAATCTACGATCTACTTTGTTATTCAGTGTAAGATTTTATTTTAAATATTAATTACTTTGTTATGTAATTTTGGATCGTAGATCGGATAAGTAATGTAAGAAAAAAAATAAAGTTAGTTAAATTTGTTTAGGGGGAGAATTGAGGGAGAGAAGGGAGAGAGAGAAAGAGATAAGCAGTGGCTGGAAGGAGCGCCTGCTTTGTGGCATTTAAACAGCTCACCACGTGTACGTAGTATCGTACGGAAAATATTCGTTCGCGATTCTGCATGTGTTGATTCAAAACAGAAGACTCTCCCAGACGGAGAATTTGACCAATATGCATTCCAATAGGTTAGAAAAACTGTTCAGTTTTCTAGTTTACATGATTGTTTTTTATTTGGGATGCCCACGTACGTACGCATATGTAGTTGACCACCACTAGCTAGTTATCAACCCACATGCACCTACCTATATATGGTCTATACCTCTAGAAAATATTGATATAACTAATTAAATCTATGGATATTTTCTAAAACATATATACTCCCCCATCCCAGAATATAAACATTTTTAGAGTTGGGCACGGTTACTAAGAAAATAGGTAGAATTGAATAGCACAAGGTTATGATTGGATGAGAAGTAGAGATATGTGAGAAATTTGAATGGTGGAGGATTGTGATTGGTTGAGAAGAGAATATTGGTGTAGAAGTTGTTATATTTTGGGACAAATTCTAGAGACTAGATATTGTTATATTTTGGGACAGAGGGAGCATGTAAGTTTGCTTAATGATCCAATACTTTTTAATCTTTTCTTACTATAAAGTTATAACCCACTAACTCCTAAAGCTTAACATATAAAGATGTCACATCATCATTCACTAACAATCATTAAATTTAAACTTCAAGCAAACATATTATATTATCTATAATTTTATAATTTATTAAATTTTAGAGCTTTTAAAATGCAAGCATGTTAAATCATCATCCCACATAATTTACACAATATTTCAATATATATTCATTATTTTTTATAATATGCTATGTACCTATATATTTCATCCTCACTTACTTGATGTTATTTCTCTCTTCTATCATTCAGTTATATCATATAATTGTTTTTAGTTTTTAGATGATTAATCTACGATCCAAACTATTTCAATACTTTCCTTCTTTCATAAAGTCATATCAGCTTACTTTTACATTTGAATCATCATTCTATATATCATTTAAATTTAAATTATCATAAAAGACGTTAACTTATATAATTTTATGTTGTCTAGTTGTCTTACATATTATTTTTATTTATTATTATCATACTTAAACTCTCGCAGCAACACGCGGGGTTTCACAAAGTTTATATAATGTTCACCTCCAAAAAATCTATCTTACCTTCCTTCCGTAAAAACTTGTGAGCACGCTAGCTTTATTAATGATTTTCACAGCTTCAAAATAATTATCTGTGACTTGCTATAATGGCAGTGTATTGATCATTTAGAAATGTGATGCTTCGGGGCAAAACAAAGAGAGCTTTTATTGTGTTTACATTTAAAAACAAATTAAAAATCTAACGGTGCATAGTAAAAGTACTTCTAGCTACCACTTAAAACATAGGAAATTGCTATAAATACAACTTGTATGTATGACTTGTGTCCGACCAACACTTAGCTGCTACTCGCTCTGGCCCACATGGAAAGAAGCAGACTCATATTTGGCTGATGAGGCAGGTCGGACAGGAGTAGGACGATGGGGTCGGACGTATAGCGCGATTCAAAAACATACTCTCCATCCGAAGTCCAAGACCTATTTCTTTTAGCACCACAACCAAAAAGTAATAGTAATGCGAAGTGACCATAGCTGGTTAGGTTTCTCATGGTAAAATCAACTCACCTGGATTTAAATCTTAGATTTAACATAGGTGTTCGTATTTACGGCTATTTATTCTTTCAGTTGTAGGCGACGTACCCGTCGACAATGAGACACGTCACCCGCGCGATCTCCGCTTCCACGCACACAGCCACACTATCCCCGCGCCCCAGCGCGTAATGACACCGCCATAGCGCCTCCCGACTCTCGACACCTCCTCACATGACATGTCCCCGCCACCAGCCGGCAGGTTGCGCCTCACTAAGTTGCACTCGTTGGCACTCCGCCGCACCTCCGGTCTTGTCGTAGGCTCTCCGGACCTCCCATTATATTGGAGAGATGAAGGGAATAATTCAAGTCATCAAACAAACATAATAAAACATCCGACGCCTCAAGAGAAGAATATTAGACATTGCTTGGCTAAAACATTGCTAGGCCTTTAGCCTGCCAGTCAACTTCAGCCTGAGATGTGCCCGTCAAACCATTTGAAGGTGGCGACAAGATGTGTTACACATTCAGGGGACTTGACAAAAATGGCTAAAGATCTACAACATCTCAAATATTCTTAACTCATACTCATGTGAATCTAATTTTCAGGATGTGCACTAGATTCACACTTTCATATTAAGCAGAGTTATACATAGCAAACACAAATAAGATGGAAGCGATTATAAACTACATCTACTTTAGTTACACTGGCTGACCGGCCAAATAAATAATAGAACAGCAGAAGCTTGTCTACCCAATCCACAAGCACACCGACTAGGGGTTTACCCCCATTAAGTTCAGATCCTAGAAGAAGCAGTCGAAACCCGCATCACTTAAAGACTAAGTCTAAAACCTGCAAGCGAAAGGTTAATTCAACGGCAAGAGTCAGTACATTATTAGAAATAATGTACTGGCAAGCACCAAGACAAGCCTAACACCCTACTTGTAAGGCATATAATCAAAGAAGGCATAATATGGTTCTTTTTAGCATAAAGCAAGTTTTATTTGCCATATGGGCATCAAAGTAGGCATTAATCATGTATAAATTAATATGCACCTCATTGTCATCCATGGCAGCAAGGAGATCATTCTCAAATCTCATCACAAGTTAAAAGTAAATTTCAATATTTAGAAGAATAAACACAAGTCTATACTCAACACATATCCACACGGCGCTCATGACCGTGAGCATGGCTAATCGATTAGTTTTTACTCTGTAGAGTTTACACTTTACCCACATGATGCGAAATAATAATCATGCAAGAGCATGGCACACGATACATAAGTACCCGATTTATTACATGCAACAAAGCTTTTCCAAAATCATGATTTAGCCTTACACCAGCACGATACGTGTCACTCCATCCTAAGCCATACACTTTATATGACCTAGAACCGTTAAGTGGCGGGCCCACGCCTTAAACTTAATGCCGTGGTGACGAACACAACGGGAACCCACCACGTGGCACAATACCGTTGTATTGGACAGACTTAGTCACCTAAACTACCACGTCGGTCGGGGTAAATAGGAAGTTCCTTTGAGTTATCCGAACTCATACACACCGGCCTACCAGAATGTAAGGCTAAACCATAAATAATTTACTAAGCTTGGGCTATCCCATACTAGCACATGTGGTTGTACTGTATACGAAATGAACTGACATTGAGTGAAATCCTTAGGTCGGTTTGGGCACACTCTCCCCCTATCAGTACACAACTAATCACAATATGTGCACCACTTTTGGCCCAAACCTAAAATCCATGTTTTACATCATTTTATTTATCAAAATCACAAGTATTAAAGTTTTGTCCAGATTATTTCAAAATCATTTTTCATGTTTGTAATGAGCCCATAATGACAAGGAAGATCATTCTAAGCATGGCTAAGCATTATAGTAACCTATAATCTAGTAACATCAAAACTCATATATAAAGTGGTATAGTCATATTGTTCCTAAGGTTAGGAAGGAGAGATATGGATATATGTGGGGTTAAGATGATAATGCAAATAATAGGAGTTTGTCTAACAAGTTTAACAAAATTTTAATTTATTAGTGTACAATCAACATGCAAGATTTGCAAATATTTTCAATAACCTTCAAAACATAGGTTCAAAGTGATCAAAGAGAGGGAGGTGGGAGGTGGGACTTACATTGTAACTGGAAAATATCAGCACCTAAATCACTTCTTCACCGATTAAGCAGTCATCTATACAAAGTACACGTTATACAATTTAAACACCGAAATATGCGAAAAATCCAAAATGCTCTAAAATGCATGATTTGTGCACAGTGGGTTGGTATTGATCTAAAATGAATTTAGGTGAAAGAATTTCTATTTTATCTCATTTCATTTAAGAGTTATGAATTTTAGAAGTTTCATCGGTATAGTATATGATTTACTTAGGTACTATTGTGAAATGCTATTGTAAGGTGATTCTTATTAAGTTTAGGAATTACTTAAGTTTATGTTTGCTGAGTGAAGATATGGGTTTTCTAAGACTAATACATTTGGTTTCACAATTTTTGGAGTTAATATAAATTCTTTATGTATTTTTACAAGTTATAACGTGTTATAGGTGTATAGTGTTCTATATGCACATGCCTTTGGTATTTGAAGTCCAGAACTTATTCTACTTTGAGTGTGCTTAAATGAAGCAAATAATTTTGTTAACTAATCTATCCTTAGTTCACAAGTTTAGGGCCTTTATTATTTTAGTTCGTATTTTATAATCTAGAGGGGTTCTATATGGATGACTTTATAAATATCAACCTAGGAATTATTATTATATGAGCTATGTTCTTCTAAGTTTAAGTTTTGGTGGATGGGGATGGAACTATGGCTCCACTGGTCTAACAAGTTTTATTTGGATTTATTTAGAGCTACCATGCATATATATACATATTCATATGTATTGTTTAACTACTATTATGTGTTTAGAGCTATGGTCTGAACAGAGGGTGTTATATTTCACTCTACTAGGTTGAAGTATATTACTTGCTGGTTTTATAGAAATTTGGTTCACTTCATTTAGACTAAAGATGAATTTACTTCATTTAGACTAAAGATGAATTTTCTGCAAATTTTACAAATTAAAGGTTGCTCTATGTTGGTTATTAATTACATAAATATTTAGAGGCTTTTATTACACATTAGGTGTATAATTTTATTTTATACTCCCTCCATTCCATAATATAAGGCGCAACCACTTTTTTTAATATTCCATAATATAATATATGTATGCATATAGACAATTAACTATGACCACTTCTCGAATAAATTATTACTTTTTTAAATCCTACTCTCATGCTCTCTAATTCTATTGGATGCATGTATTGTATTTATTAGGATGATCCAAATAATTATTATCGAATAATTATTTTTTGGTCTTTGGGTAAGGGGTGGTTATGCCTTATATTTTAGAATGGAGGGAGTAACATGGAATTATATGTTTGGTTGATTCTACAGAACTTGGGTTTACTAAAAAGGATCTAAGATGAATTTTATATAAACTTGTAAAGTTCAGCTTATGTAAAACTAGTTATTTTATAGATAATAGTTTTAGAGACATTTGATGTAAAGTGTGTATATGTTTTATTTTACTTTGTTTTTAGAGAACATGTTGGTGGATCTGTTGAAACTAAATTTTCTCTAAAATGAGGTGAAATGAATTTTATAAGTTTGTGTATGCTTTATGTATGACTTATCCAATTTTAGAGACAAAGTCTTTACTGAGGGTGCCAAGTTTTATGTTTCCACATTAAAGTTCATAGTTTTGTGAACCAAAATAAATTTTAATCATCTCAAAATAAGTTATATTTGATTTTATATGGATTTTACAAGTTTAGGTGTTTTCCTGTTAAAAAGTAAAGGATTTTAGTATTATCTTTTACATTTTCAGATTTTTAAACTCATGGGGTTCACCTGTCGGTCTCAGGATAATATTGAAAAAGGCCCCTATCGTTTCAGGAAATCAACCCGCAGTCCTAGGTCTATAGGTCATTGAGTGGAAACATTACATAATGAACCTTATAGTTGTTCAAATTCGCAAAATGAAGTCCCTGTTTCTTCTCCATTCGATAAGCAGCAAAGCAGCCATGGGCCTCTGGCCCTCTGCTCGCCGGTGTCGGCGACAAATGGTGACTCCGTTGGGGTTGCGACCAGAATAGAAAATGAAGGGCATGCTATTGCGATTCCATTCCTATACATTTCTCGCATAGCGGACATCGGAGTAGCGCCAGCGGTGAGTCCGAGCAGAGGATGTTTTCGGGTGGTTGTGCATGTCGTGCTATAGACTGGATGTACCCAAAGGGATGCATGCATGTATGTTCTATAGGCTGCAGGGTACTCACCGAAGCTCGGACGAGGTACGGGTAGGCCTGGACAGCGACGACGATGCAGAGGATGTCCCGTCAGCGGTGCGCAACTCCGCGAAAACGGCGACGGCTCGATCCACTCATCGAAGTGACATGCATATGTGTCCATGAGGTCAGTGAGGTCACAGGGATGGTGTACGAGCAAAGAATTGATGCGAGGCTCACCGGAGAGGAAGAAATCGAAGATGAAGCTCGGCGGCCGGAGTTGGGGAAGATGAAGTCGATCTCCATCCACGGTGCATAAATCTTGGGGATTCTTGAGGGGTTTTGGTCGTGGTGATGAGACGATAACGATGGCGCGATGTCTCAGTTATATTTGCTCCACAGCAACCGGAATCGGCGACGAGATCTCGTGGCGGCGGTGCACTGTGTGCGCTCCGGAGCTCCCGCGGGCGAGGTCGCGTTCCCACCAAACCACTGCATGATAGAGGCTGAGATTAGAGGGGATGGAACCGGCATTGAGAGGAGGCGATGGAACACTAGAGAAAAGGAGACGATCGCAGCACAGTGATGACGACGACGGTTGTCGTCTCCACGGCCGGCGGCAAGGATGAGGGCGGCGGAGGCGAGGCGATCCCTCTCTCTCGATTTGGTCTACACGGAAGTGGTAATGGAGAGGAGGCAATGCAGCTGGGAAGAGTTGAAAGCGAGCTCGGCGTTTTGAGGACGGCGACACGTCGTGTACACGCGTCGGCCGCGCCCAGAACGCCTCTCCTCCCTCTCTCACGCCTGCTGGTCGGTTAAAGGAGTTGGACAGGGAGAGGGCCAGCCCAAGTGGCTGCCAAGCGGGCCCAGGTCGTGGTAAACTAGGTGGGGGAGAGGGTTAAGGGTAGGATCTTGATTCTTGAGTGAACATTGATTTTAGATGATTTTCAAGATTATTTCTCTTCTCCATGTTTGTTAATACATATATTAATTTGTGGTACAGATCAATTCATGTGAATTTTACTGGAGGTAGATGAAGATACTTATATTCTGGTTGCACTCAAGAATTATGGATGGATTACTCACAGAAATTAGGAGAAGATGGGCTCTTTGGAAACTAGTTTGGATTTTTAGGAGACCTAAACAGAGAAGAAAAATTCTGGAAAAATTATATTTATTCATGATAATTAATGTAGTATTTGAATAAATTATTTTCCCTATACACTTCCATGCAGTTAAATGTACATTTTAGTTAGGTATGGTTTTAGCCGATTAAGAACTATATTTAATCTATTATTTGACTGGTTTGACTTGTTTATTTAAGGTATCGAATTTAGTTATTAAATTGTACCAAAATTACAGTGAGTTGTATATGTTAAGTAGAGCTTACATGAATTTTCCCATGATTTTATCTTGCACGAATTATTTTAGAAAATTAGCAAGACTTATCTCTTATATGTGTTTCCCTTTTCTAAATGCATGTAAATGTTTATAAAAATTATATTTGGACTGTTCTTATCCTGGGGTGATGTTGATATGTTAGAATTACAGTTTACCTTACACATGTCATAAGCTTCTTACCTATTTATGTATAAGTTTAATCTAGTATTAAATTAAGAGAATGCTTATAGAGATGATTCAGATAAAATTTACCCTATATGAGTTAATTTATTTGTTCACTTCCATGTTCATGACTTGTCTTGAGATGGATGGCCTAATTAGTTTTATGGGGCTAGACATTGGCGTTATTGATATATTTTAAGGTGTATTATGGTTCCTATGTATTATTTTCCAATAGTTAGCACTAGGCCCTAATGGTTTAATGGTTTAGTTGATTGTCTAGATTTTAGTTATTATTCATGAGACCTATTATGAAATGCAAATCGAAAATCCAAATGCATATGAAGGACTCAAGTCAAAACATGTCCTATGAGAGTATGCATGCTTACAAATAAGTTTACATTTTTGTCCTAGGTTATAAATGAAAAAGTTTTGATTTGCCCTCAAATTTTATTCATGCAAGAGTTAGATCAATTTCACCTAAGTTTTAAATGAAAATTTTTGGTTCACAAAATTGGAGAACTTTCCTTTCATTTGACGAAAATTTCTTCATCCTAAAATTTGGGTATGTTACAGGTCTCCTCTTGCCACAAATCCCTTCTCCAAGACCTCAAATATGAGCAGCACAGTGAAGTTAGTGATATGCCCTAGAGGCAATCATAGAGATGATTGTATCACATACTATGTTTACATATTTATCCGACATTGTTTCTTGAAATAGATAACTCCTTATTGGTTAATGAATATGTGATTCTTTCATGAGACTCTTTATGTTGTTTGTTACTATTTCTAAAGGATCCCTGATCGAATATCATATATGGAACAAATATGTTTATATGATCAGCACATGTATTAATTGATGATCATGTCTCATGGATCATGGTATAGAGATTCCAAATTAATAATGTGGACACATGTTGGTGAACATGTTGTTGGATAGACCCAACATGAGACACTGCAAGAGCCATATGTGTTGTGTCATCAGTGATCTCATTTAGTGTTGGTGTTGAATCCTTAGACCTGAGATTATCATGGTTCTCAACATATGTAGTAGCTTACTTAGGGACTTCTAAACGCTACTCCGTAAATGGGTAGCTATAAAACTAGTTTTCGGGTATGCTATGAAACATGTAGTGAGATATGAATAATCAAGATGGGATTTGCCCCTCCTATGGAGAGATATCTCTGGGCCCCTCGATGTTGTAGATTATGGAAGTGCATGGCCATGCCAAAGGTAATTGAGGAGTCAATCACAAGTTATATAATCTATCAACAGGTTCGAGTGAATGATTGAGCTATTAGAGGATGGCACATATCTAGCCTTGAGTTTAATCGATATCATGAGGCAAAGGGGTTCATACAAGTATACACTAGAGGTTCAGCCGATATGATCTTTATGTATGCCCGGTGGGTCAATATGTTCTGCTAGGGGCCGCTGTTGACGCGTGGACCGAAAAGGAGTTTTCGGGTTACAGCCGAGTATATATGAACCTATAGGGTCGCACGCTTAATGGGCCGGAATAAGGGGATTGGATGGAGATCCAATATGAGCTTACTTCGGATAGGGATCCGAATAGGAGTCCTACGGGCCTTGGAGGCCCGAGTGATGGATCCTATATATTCATGAGGGGTGTGACCGGCGGAGGCATTGCATGACGTGAGAAACCCTAGCCGTCACTTTCCTCCCCGAGCAAAACCCTAGCCGCGCGCGGGTGCTAGCATATCTGCTCGTGGCGTTCCGTCCCTGTACGTGTGGATACCGGTAGAGGCGCCGCTGGTTTGCGGTGCTGATCGGCGTGGGATTACGGCGAGGAGAACGCATGAGGAGGAGAAGGTCGAGTTGGTGCGATCGACTACTTCCTCTACATCGACGCGCGCTACTTCGCGAGAGTTCCTTCGACTTCTCAGCGTCTTCTTCCGCTGCACAGCGCATCGAGTGGTAACGATCTATGATCTAATACTTGCATGGTTCCTGGTTTACGCGATAGAAAATTTTGATTTATGCTATCGTAGCCTACGCGTATCCCAACAGGTGGCATGGCCAGTGGTTGCCGACGGCTGTAGTTGAGTGGAGGAGGGCCCAGACAGGGTTGAGTGTGGCTACAACGTTGTGGATGGAGGAGTCAAGGAGGACTTCAGGTGGGAGGTGTCGGTGCTGGAGGAGGTGCTATCATCTGCGGTGCCCATAAGAGCACGGCGGGACCTCTAGATTGCGGCGGCACTACAGGTGGTGCAGCGACGATGTCAGCGAGTAGTGGTGCTGGGCGTGGCTATGCAAGGGCATAGCCATGGACGCCGCGACAACAATAAGGAGGGTGTTGCCGTCATCGATGCGGACATTGCCTCCACCTTCCCTCAACCAGTCCTCCCCACTCCAATGCTGCAATAGGCATCTATCCTCTTTGGTGCCATCACTGCCATCATCCACTCTCCAACTGGTGGTTCTCCGGCCCTCCCAAGCACTACCGCTGCAAAACAGCGACCCCAGGCCACCACTTCGGCACTCCACTCGTGGTCCTCGCAAGACCGAGTTGTAGGCCAAACCAAGAATCCCAGCCATTTTCGTCGTTGACTGGACTGGATGGACAATAACCTCTTCGAGGCAAACTTAGTCCTTCTGCATCCACATTGCATTGAAGGCTCCTCCTCTTTTACCTTTTCACATCCTTCTGCCTCCTGGTGTTGTTTGTAAGTCGTGACCACAATGCGTGATGCATGCATGGAAGGTGCTCGATGAAATGCTTCCTCAATGGAAGGATGCATGGTGGTCACAACTAGGAGATCAGTGTTTGTGGAGGGCAATGCCGTAGGACAGTGCAAATGGCGGCACAAGGCCCATGGTTAGTGCCTCCTCCCACTTGGCTTGTAATTCGTATTGCAGGCAATCCATTGAGCTGGCCATGTACATCTCAGCTTTGCCGGTTGCAATTGGTATTGATATCTAGATTTTTTTAGTGTTTCATAATCATCTAGCTCGCTAGAGTTGTTCTGGTAGGCAAGTTTCCTGAATCTTGAGAGGAACAATTTTATACTTATATATACTGAACTTCAGGTAATATCTCCACCAGGTCCGCCTATATAAGTATACCTTTTTCTTGCCTAAAATGTAGCTTTCTTTCTTACATATTTGTACCTAGCTATGTTCATCTTCATTCTCTAACCAATGCAATTCAGCATATGCAAACACACTGCAGGTTAAAAAGTAGTATTTGGAGAGACAAAGGCAATTCAGTTTGCACAGGCACAATGCAGGTGAAATGCAGTCACAATCATATTACATGGTGGGATGTTTGTGAATGTCCTATTGGGCTTCCTCTATTGAATATCAACGATAACTTTTTTCCCGATTATACTCATGTTACATGGTGGAATGCACTTCCAGGGTCAGGCTGTATTCCAAAATATGGCTTTGTGTTGCTGAGTTATATGCTTCAGCACTCTCATGTTGCTTTCATCTAATCCATGTAAGCATTCTAACTTTTTTGCTCTGGTTTCTTTTTCTGCAAACTAGTTTCTGATGGAAAATTTCTTATCGCTAGAAATTGTCATGTAATCTCCAATGTGCTCTAGAAATTTCAGATTGAGCTATTTGAATTTTGCTATGTTAATTTGAAGAATACTATTCTAAAGTGGCAGCGGATTATCATAACCAGCTACCTCAAACTATTCAATTGCAGCACTTAATTTAATCATCTAATTTATTCAATGTGCATTCCAAATTTCGCATTTCTTAATTTAATCATGTATTTTGGTTTGAGTTGATATAGTTGATTTGGACAATTATAATTGCAAAGTAAAATTGATTTTGTCGTTGTAAATATGACTGAATTTTCTGGACAACATTTAATGTGATTTTGTCAAAAACACGATGAACCTTCCACTTGTCAGTATAGTCCTATTTTATTTTACTTCCGAAAGTAAGAAACGTATCTTACAACATATTTGACTGATATCTAGATTTTTTAGTGTTTCATAACATCTAGCTCGCTAGAATTGTTCTTCTAGGCAAGCTTCCAATATTCTTCTAATGTTCCCACCATACATGGAGAAGAACTCCAACGCACGCTTCTCTAGCAGCTTGCAATAGCTCTTAACCATTTCTTCGTCAACTCCTTTAAGAAGTAAAGGCCAAGTCCTTGCCCAAAGCGTCCCCATGAAAATGACCTGTAAGAAAGATATAGGATTGGAGCCATTAAAGACCAC